TTCCAGGAAGCAACTTTATTTTGCCGGCACCGCTCAGTTGGGTTCATACCCAAAAGAACTGAGCGGTCCACATCATATGGCATAGGTTTTTTTATGCATTTTCTACTTCTTTGTCTCCCATATATGGTAATACACATAAACATGCAGTCTGATTAAGTTGTTTCAGTTTACAGGAACATGGGGGATGTAGGCAGCTGGACTCATATCTAGGTGACCTTGAAGTCTTCTCTCCTCTCTTCTTCATTTTTTTCTTTCTCCTTAGGGAGGGGTTCCTACCACAACGCAGGCAGTGCAGGGGGAGGCAGTGGTCAGCAAGGGCCTCTGTGGACCTCAGATCCTGCAAAGCCGCAGCCACAGGCCTGTTTCCTCTGTGTGTGTGAGAAAGGAGAGGCTGCCCTGGGCAGGGCTGGTCTCCTTCCCCCTCCCATGTGGCTTCTCAAGGTCAGGAAGGACTTGGGAGTGGAAAGATCGGTGGTCTAAGAGCCTGAGATGTGGGCGTGGCCCTGCCTCGTCCCGGCTTCCAGATTGTGGGCTCATCAAGTACCATAAATGGGCCCCGACTTTGCTTATCTGTGAAATGGCCTCACACAGGGAACATGCCTGTGAACCGCAGAAACCTCGACACACTGTGGTCAGTGGTATTGGCTCTCTTGCTGCCCAGGACAGCGGGAGGTGACCGAGGTCTGTATCTGGTGGTTGAAAATGCCCCTGATGCGGTGCCAGCATGGAGTCCGCGGTGGCTGCCTGCTGGGAGCCGCACTGGTCTCGCTGGATGACAGTCACAGCGAGGAAATGGTAGCGTTTGCACAGCTCCTGCCATGAGAAACGAAATTTGGTATCTCCTTGCTATTACTGGGTCATGTTGGAAATGAGGCTGCTGGTATTGACCAGACCTCCCAATATTCCAGATCAGACCAATATTCCCCACACAGATTGTTCATAAGGAAAGGCATATTCCTGCCTTTTCCAAAGAGGTTTCAGATGAAAACATTGTGGATGATTGTTAAAAGGCTCTTCCTAAGGGCCTTGCAGATCCAAGACTTACATAATAAAGGGGGCCAAGAACATAGAGTTACAATTGAGTCTGGCCCTGAGACAAAGAGCCTAATTTGGAGTTAAGAAAAGATATCCACCCTTACCCATTTGTTTCTGCTTGGAGCATTTCCTGGCCTTGAATATGCTGACTACTCCCTGTGAAAGAAGGTATTGAAGAACTAGTTTTATCATTATGGCAGCAAAGGTGTTTCCTGGAAGACCTGTTTTTCTTGATACTTCCACCTTAAAAGAAGTAACTTCACCCTGTTTATGCTAAAAACTTTGTCTGGTATGTTAAAGATACCTTTTTCCCCATAGGATAAGCATCTCAATCACTATTAATAAAGGTTATGCAGGAGTCTTCTAGATTTCTGGGAAATTCTTACATAGCAAAGAAGTTTGTTATCAGAAATCATTGTCTAAGGCAAATGCCACCTCTGTGCCATCCCCCAAACACTTATAAAATAAAGCTGAGCCCCAGTCAGAGCGGAGATGCCTGCCTGGTGACCAGAAAAACTCTTGGGCCTCTCTCACCCCTCCCTCTTTGACACCGTCCATCCTTAAGGGACTCCTGGACCAGCCGGAGCCGGCCTCCGACAGCTGCCCCTCCCGGGTCCCTCACTGCAGCTGCTGGTGGCTCCTTCCTGGCCACTGGGCCCCACCCCCCATGCAGTGGTATTCACAAGAGAACACTCCTCCCCTGAGAGTGCTCCCCAGGGGGTTAGGGAGGGGGACAGAGGACAGGGACATGGCTGACTTGCACCCCATCATTCTGGAGTGTGGACTGGATTCAGAGTTTCTACCCTCGAGACTCAGGGACCGAGCCTTCTGAAGGACGTCCCTGTTACTGGACGGGAGCTGGGGAAGAATGCAGTGTTGATGCTCTCCTGTCTGAGGTGCGCAGGCTGGTCAAGGGGAGCCCAGAGTGAATGTGGGGACTCACTGGAGGTCACACGGTGGACGGGACAGGAGTTGGACGATGGACTTCTCAGGGATCATGGGTGGGAGTCCAGCCCCTGCTCCTAACCTTCTGAGTGACCTCTGATGGTCGTACAAACCCTGAGGATGGGCTTCCACATCCACAAAGTGGATTTACCAGCTAATAGGCTGACTACCTTCAGTTCATGTCCCCGGCCCTTCTGGGGGTTCAGGATCCTATGTCTGGGCAGCTGAGTTGGAGCCTCAGTGGGCGGGAAAAGTGCACTAGCCGGGGGTGGGGGGTACTTATGCTTCCCTGGGTCCATGGGAGACAGGTTCTCAGAGGTCGTGGGGACCCATCTGGGGACAGGAGGCCTGACCCTCAGCAGGTGGCCGTGAACTTGGGCAGCTGAGCCTGAGGCCAGCATAGCACATTCCTGCCCCTTCCTGTGTGTGAGAGCAGGGGCCCGGCTGGCAGAGCCTTGGGGAGACATGCAGTTGGGGGCTGCCCTGTGTGTGGGGGCAGGGCGGGGCCCGTGGTGACAGCAATAGGGAAATGCCCGTATTTGGGGGGGGGAGGGGTTGACTCTTCCCACAAACTTCTTTGTTCTTGTGATCAAAGCATCTTCCTTAGACAGTTGACAGTTGAAGTGCACAGAAAATCAGAAAGGAAATTAGACTTGTTAAATGGTGTAAAGACAGAGGACAACCCAGAGCAGGAGGGGCCCCGTGTCCTTGGAACGGTGGTTAGTGTGACTCTGCGTCCGGCCATCAGCTGTCCCTGGGGAGCAGGGCTGCTGGGCTGTGTGTGAACCCAGGGACCCAGGTTGGATTCCCGCTGGGTGCTGGCTGGGGAGCTGAGATGACCAGGCCGGTGGTGCCCACAGGAAGGGGCCCCTCCCACCCAGTGACTCATTGAAGTAGTGTTCATATATTCATCCACCAACATTCCCTGAGACCCAGCGCAGGGGGAGGTAAGAGGAAGCATCTGAATGGCTTTCTCTAGAGCAGCCATCTTGTCCTAGACAGTTAGCTCCGCCCCTGGGGTGGGAAACACTAAGAGCTGCTCAGAGTAAACCGTTCTTCCTCTCTTGCTTCTGCTTCTGGATGTTTCTCCACAGCCCAGTAGGCCCAGAGCAAGCCTGGAGGGAGGCAGCCTGTGATGGGAACCCGCCCAGAGGCCCCCCGCCTGTGCCGGGCCCCCTGGCTCCTGGGATTCACCAGCCTCCTCCTCAGTGAGTGGCCCGGGTCCCTGGGCGGGAGGCCGCTGTGCGGGGCAGGGAGGGGGGCTCCCGCGGGTCTGANATTCACCAGCCTCCTCCTCAGTGAGTGGCCCGGGTCCCTGGGCGGGAGGCCGCTGTGCGGGGCAGGGAGGGGGGCTCCCGCGGGTCTGATGTCTGTGGGGAAGGACCTGAAACACCAACTGTATTGTATGACACATGAGGGGCCTCTGGCTCCCAGCCAGGGCCGCCTTGCACAGGGGCCGCCCAGCCTTTGCAGCCGTGTGGGGAGGATGGGGCGGCCCAGAGGCCCCGTCGGGGCGGGGGGGGGGGACCCTGCTCTGGCCCCTGGGGCAAGAGGAGAGCCCGGAACACACCGAATTCTGTGTGACCCAGGAAGGACGGGCGGTCCCCAAAATTTGAAGGCATCTGCGCCCACTTGCTGGAAGGGTGTGGACGGAACATGGGCGCTGACCGGCCTCAGGAGGGGGTGAACGGGGTGACAGGAAGGGAAGCAGCTGGTCCCCAAAATGGAACCAAAAGAAAAGCCTGTTTTAATGAAACCCAGACATTCCCATTATTACTTCCACTGACACCAACGGCTTTCGTGTAATAGATTAAATAAAATCAAAGGGGGACACAGGTCTCAGAGCTATGAATTCCAGGGAATCCTGGGAAAGCTTTTATTTTCTGTAATGTTTTGCTTGTGTGCGCCTGGCTCCCTAAGGGGTGGTGCAGGGGATCCAGGAAATTCCCGGACCGGGGGCATCTGCAAACATAATGTTTCTCATTAGAAAATGAGTTTTCAAGGCTTTGATACCCCTCTTACCCAAGTAATTTTGTCAACAAAATGTAGCCTTTCTCTTTCTTTCCATTTTAACAAACTGGAGAAATATGTGAAATTACATAGTTTGCTCCATAAACATCTACCTTGAAAGGTTATGTAGGAAAGAAAGAAAGAAAAAAGTAAGAAAGAAAGAGGAAGGAAGAAAGGGAGAATTGGAAGAAATGGAAAATTTTTATGTTGACTGTAACTTTTTTTAATGTTTCATTTATTTCTGAGGGAGAGAGAGACATATGGTATGGAAAATGCCCCCTCCTTCTCCCTGCTCGCCGGTGCTGGGCCCCTCCCAGCCCAGCACCCTCCCACCAGCCGGTGCAGGGGGGACTGAGTCGGTCACTGTTGGCTCAGAATTGCTGGTGAACAGCCCTATGGGAGGTACCGCACTGGGGCTGAACCACTGTCCTGTCCCCCCGGGAGCCCAGCGCACAGTCCCCACCCCCAACCCCTCACCTTCCTTGGAGCAGGGACTGTTTCTCAGACTTCACGGAAGTTGTGCCAAACCGTGCCTGTTCCCACATTAGCTTAACCCTGACTCTGTGTTGGCTGGGATGCTGACTTGGGGTCGCACCAGATGCTTTATTTGGTCCAGTATTTCCTGAGGGAGCCAGCAGGGGGTGAGGGCCCAGGCAGAGAAAAAGTTAGCTGCTCCCCTTCCAGGCCAGCAGGGAACTCCAAGTGCACTTACCCACATTTCTGTGTTTGCCTGGGATGCTGGTGTTTACAGCTGCCTGAATGAACTCACACGCCCTGGGGTTCTGACTGCCCCGGAAAGAAGGCAGAAGGCGGAGGGGCCCACCCCTACCTTCTTTTTCAATCCTCATACGCTACCCGTGATCCCCATGATCCCCATACGCTACCCGTGATCCCCATGATCCCCATACGCTACCCTACCCGTGATGAGCATACAATACTGTCCCCGCCCTGAGGAAACCCACTAGAGACAAATGGCGAAACGCCCCCATTTCTTTTCTTTTCTTTTTTTTTTTTTTATAGTTTGGATTCCTTAGTTGTTTTTTTGTTTTTTTTTTTTTTTACAAATAGTTTATTGTCAAATTAGTTTCCACATAACACTCATTGCTCATCCCCATAAGTGTCCTCCTCTATGCCCATCCCCCCCTCCCCCCCACATCCATCAGTCCTCAGTTTTTGTCAGCATTCAAGAGTCTCTCATGTTTGCCTCTCTCCCTTTCCCCCACCATTTCCACCCTTCTTCTCCCCCTTGTTCCTCCGTCAAGTTCCTCCTAAACCTCCTATACGTGCAAACATATGATATTTGTCCTTCTCTGCCTGACTTATTTCGCTCAGCATAACACCCTCAAGGTCCATCCATGTTGCTACACA